AAACGGTGACTTTGGTTCTCGCTCGCTCGCGAAACACATAGGAACACTTTTATCACTCGTCATATCGCCGTGCCTGAGCGCGCGAAATCTCAGACCTGTCATTTGTGAAATATAATCGCTTATTATTTAAAAACTACCATAGCCACGACATTTTTTTATTAGAATTTTCCTCTTGAAATTTTTTAAGGAATCTGCGATTAAAAGGATATCCGGTGATTTTAGTACACCCTGTATATTTCCTTGATTTGCTAACATGCATAATTGTAGTTACACTGTTTATTTAAAAACCAGTGGTTATTTTTATACAAGATATGCAGGTACTTTGAATTCTTATGGAAACACTTTTACTCTTCATAATAAGCTGATTAAGATTACAATGCCGCGACGTAGAAGACCTGAGGAAAATATTAGTAAATCTGAGTTATTTCGTTGCGCAAAAAAACAAACGATTCGAGAACTAGAAGAAATATCTTCTATTGTGTTTCAATCACACGAAAGCTCGGCTATAATTAGACCCAAAGAGGAAATCTATACAGAAACAGTAAATAATGTTCTTTTAACAAAAGACAATGACAGTCAAACAGAACTCTCAAATGCCCAGGAAGTACACAACGAACATTTTAATGAACATATTGCAATGGATTTCGATACAGAGTATCAATACAGCGATAGCGAATTAAATTCTGAAATAGATGCATACAGCAGCTGTGATGTTAATACCTATATATGACGAGGATATGGAAAATCCAGAAAAATTGCTTGGCAAACAATTTAAATTAAAAATAAAAAACTGGGCTAAGGAATTTAAAGTACCTCACAACAGCTTAAAATCATTGTTAGCTATTTTAAATGAACATGTAAAAATAGATTTTCCTAAAGATCCTCGCACACTTTTGGGAACACCAAAAACCACGCGCATAGAAAATATGGGACATGGGCAATACTGTCACTTTGGATTGTGGTGCTAAAATACGGATAATGGTGCTAAAAATAGGAACGACAATTCACAAACTGATACTTAACAAGAAGGATCGTTTAGTGCAGATAACTTGTCAAGTAGGTATTTTATATATTATATTCATTATTTTACGATACAGAAAGCATCATTCTAAATTTATTCGACTTAAAATGAAATTTTAATTTATCACGTTAAACGTAAATAGAAGTTCAATAGTAATCAATTATTTTTTGGATATTTTGTTATTTTTACAAATAAAAATAGAACTAAAATAATATTAAACACATTGTACTTATGCACTTATACGCTTACACGTAAAACGCAAAATATTGTACGAAACACTTTATGTCATATTTATCTTTTTCAGCTGTATTGAGGCTTATTCTGACAAAGCAAAATAAAATCGTAAAACAGAACGAAATTATAATGACTAAAATTACGAATCTCGAGAAAAAAGTTTCTCTTACAGAAACAAGTCATTGCCAGTTGAGTAACCGAACAAAAGATAAATTATATGAAACGTTCATTATAAAAACTACGAACGATCTAGAGCAGTTTGACGCTTGTTTAAAAAAAAAGAAGTTTTTTGATGAAGTTGTAAGTATAATTGATAAATCAAACGAACTCACCGAGTGAAGTTCGATTTGAATTATGCCTATTGCTCAGACTAGTTGATTAACACTTGGTATACATATGGTAAGGAATTTTACACTATATATATTTCTGTTAACTTAACAATTTTTTCAGGTTGAATTTTTAAAGCAAAAAGGAGGTCCTGATGTGCGGTCTCATGTGTTTAATATTTTAAACACTACAATAAGTAATTCTGTTGCAACACAATATAGTTATAAGGGTCAAAAGAAAAAAAAGATTTGTAGATCTAATGTTCAACACCTGTATATATAGTGAGTAATTGTTAATATATAAATCTTTTTTAGATTATAAATTGAAATTTTTTACAACATTGTTTTCATTTCATTTAATATTTCAAATTTAGTTATGTTAAATTAATATAGTAAATAAACATAGTAAATAAAAACACTACTGGGGAAAAACACATCTATCTTTCACTTTTACAGACTCATATAAATATATATTATCATTACAGAAGCTGCACAAATGCACATGTCGTCAGCTACGGAGAACCAAATAAAAATGGCTATAGCTGCTTGGCTTGACAATTCATCAACTCGATTAAAAAATGAGCAGAAGTAAGTAGAGGAAATGAAATTTGTTTTTCGTTAACAACTTGCAAGTTTTTAAATTAATGTTATAAGTGTAAGGTAAATAATTAATAATTATTTGTTTCAGAAAACGTGTTTTGTGTTACACATTTAAGAACGGATTTCTCAAATGAAAGTTCTGACAACGACGAACAAGAAAAATAGGCCTGTCATGTTGCTTGTACTTTTATAAGAATGTTTTGAAATTTTATCATACATTGTATGATAAAATTTCAAAAAACTGTCACAAAATGTTTTCTTCAATGACCAAATATATATCTATATATATCTATATATATCTATATATAAAATATATATCTATATATAATTTATAAAAAGTATA